TGCTGCTGGGGGACAGGACCGACTGTCTCTGCCCCCTGTAACTCAGCCTGCCGCTAGGGAATGGAGATTGGGCTCCCAATTCCCTGCATATCACACTGTCGCTGGGGAATGGAGACTGGGCTCCCAATTCCCTGCATATCACACTGCCGCTGGGGAATGGAGACTGAGATCCCTATTCCCTGCAGATCACACTGCCGCTGGGGAATGGAGACTGGGATCCGAATTCCCTGCATATCACACTGCCACTGGGGAATGGAGACTGGTCTCCCAATTCCCTGCATATCACACTGTCGCTGGGGAATGGAGACTGGGATCCCAATTCCCTGCATATCACACTGCCTCTGGGGAATGGAGACTGGGCTCCCAATTCCCTGTATATCACTCTGCCACTGAGGAATGGAGACTGGGCTCCCAATTCCCTGCATATCACACTGCCGCTGGGGAATGGAGACTGGGCTCCCAATTCCCTGCAGGACCGGTGGAGAGACCTTGGTCCCATCTCCACCGGCCACCTGGGGTTCTTCCCAGTAAAACTCTACTATCTTGTCCCAGCTGAATGGGTCTGGCTCTGGGTCTGTCACTCTGCTCTCCTGCTGATCCTTCTCACTGGAGTGGAACAGTTGCTGGTAGCCCTGTTCCAGCTCCATTTCCCGGGTCACCAGGTGGACCAGGTCTTGCTCAATCTCGTGAGAGTCGCCCCATCATACCTGCTCTCCCTCCACTCAAAGAGATCACAGAACCGGGCTTGTGTAGGGCTCCCAAACTCAGGCTCTGAGAAAGTCTCCCATAACAAGCCAGGACCGTCAAACTCCTCTCCGTCTGACTTGTCATGCTCGGCTGTCCAAGGCAGGTACTGTGCCCCATACCACCAGAGCGCCTGGTAGGCATCTTCCAGCCACATCTCCTGCCATACCCGGAGCTCCAATTCCTTCACCCATTCCTCCAGGGGCTGCTCTCCCAGGAAGGGCATCCGCAGGGCTAGTCGCTTCTGCAATCGCTGGTCTTCCTTGGGGAGTCTCTTGCCCCGCTGGTACTCCGCAATACCCAGTGCCTGGTACCAGATGCCTTTTCGGACTGCATCTCTATCGTCCATGTCACCTTCCTCGTACGACACTGTTGGTTCCATCTTGGTGCTGTCAGGGTCGCTGTACTCAGACAAGCGTTGCCCTCAATTTGTAAATCCAAGGAATGGTGTCTCCTTGTAGCTGTCCTTCTGGCTGTAGGAACGATCCCACTTCTGCCACCAATTGTAACGGCACCCCCAGGCATAAAAAGGGTTAAACGCCGTTTAGAGGATATTCCCTTCCAGATCTACAGGCAGCTACCGTAGACACCAAGCCACCGAACCGGACAAGCATATGCATGCCGTAAACAGCCGAACGGAACCATACGAACGCTGTAAACAGCCGAATAGGAAAAACCATACAAAAGGTTTACACTCCTAGCAGTCGAACTGGAACAGCATACAATAAATCCCCCCAAGAATGAGACAAAGCTCAGTGTTGAGGTTCAAGCAGCGAACAGACAGAGCTGTGGGTTTATTGTTCTTATATACACATTCTTACACATTAGTACCACCCACAGGGTTTTGGAAAACAACCAATAAACATGTATTTTCAGAATCAGCATACTCCAAATACAAACATACGTCAAAATCATACAAATTGGTCCAGTGGTTCAAAAGATAGATTGTGGTCCTTTGTGACCAAATGAAGCATGGCTTTTCTGCCCAAAACCAGTTCCACAAAGCCTTCTATCCTGGAGATAATTGGGAAGTAATCCAATTATCTCCAAGGACAGAGGCAAAACTCCATTGAACACATGGTAGCAAAAGACAGTAAAATACATAAAAATATATAACTGTGCATCTATTAAATAAAATATGTACATTCAACATTTTCCCAGATAGCTCAGATCTGAGCGTACATTATTACTGAATGGCGCTCAGATCACACACATACAGTTCAATTGCCATGGAGTCAAAGTCTTTCCCATAGTCTTTCATTATACGAATGGGCTCCATGGCATTGCTATCTGGGGTATCACCGCTCAAACAGGGCAAGCAACGAATGACCCGGCTTTCGTGTTTTTGCAGGGGAAAATCAAGCGTTTCAACATGGGGCCATAGTCTAAAGGCAGCAGGCAGGCACCCAGGCTCCTCCAATGCACAGTGGTGAGATTGGTCTCGTCACACTCGAATTCTGTCCGAATGGCAAAAATAAGGTAAAAACAGCTGATCTGCTATAATTATACTGATTATACTGAATATACTACTTCGAATATTTTTGCCTCATTTTGCCATTTGGAATTAATTTCAGAGTTTAGTTAATAACCCTGTCTGCAGAGGGGAAATAATTTTAAGACCATAATAGAATTCCATAATAGAATTCTACTTTTAGATGAGAGGTTTTTATGTCCAAATGTATATTTAACTACAAGATTACATTATATATTTCTATAAAATGATCATGGCTTACTCAGAGTCTCTCTTCCTTTCTGCTGCTGCTATTTCAGGTATATATGCAATTTACCTCAAGCAACTACCAGAACCAGTTCTTGTTATATGTATTCACTTTGGTGCCAACCTTAGCAAGAATGAAAAGGAAAGCATTTTGTTTTTCAAACTTTGCATGGCCATCTCAGATTTGTCACACTGCAAGTTCCTACAAACATGTCACGTTTCATAAAAATCTGTTCAGTTTGATATACTTAAAAAATATATTTTAAAATAGAAATGTTACACACCCTCTTTTTCTGCCTTTGTATCCACTATGATCTTTCAGTAAAAGTACAATAAAAGCAAACTAGTATTATAAAAAAAATCATTATCAAGAGTCACTGCATATACAAAATGAAGTACATAAGATATTTTACAATGAATACATTTTAGCTCAAACATAAACCAGTTTGATCTTCCATTTTATTTAAAGTTTTCAAGTTGCCACGGAATGAAGCAATGTAGGCCAGTCATATTGTCTTCACAACTTGTCACCAAATACCAGTGATCCAACTTTACTTTCAAGTATGCTAGGAGTAAGTTATTTGGTTCCTTGTCTTAATGCCATTTCAGAGGCCATAGCAATGTGAAGGGGTAGGTAAAAGGGCATGAACTGAGATGTCACTTGAAAAAGCATAATTTAAAGGAACACTATAGGGTCATGAACACAAACATGTATTCCTTACCCACTAAGAACACCATCTAGCCCACTTTTGCCCTCTCTAAATATAGTAACACATTACCTTTAATCCACTCTTTTGCTACTGGCTCTGCCCCTATTCATCTCTATGAGGAGGATTCAGTGCCTCCCGGTGTCTCTATGCAGAAAGTGGAGAAACTGAATGTCACTGCTGCACACTGTGCAGCACTGCCCCAGGAAGCACCTTTAGTAGCCATCTTTAATGTAAATGCTGTGTTTCTTTGAAAATACTGTGTTTATTGCCAAAAGCCTGAATGTACTGATTATACTTACTAGAACAAATACAGTAAGCTGTAGTTGTTCGGGTGACTATAGTGTCCCTTTAAAAGTAATTGCATTAACATATTAAAAGTAATCAGACTTGACATGAATGAAATCAAAGCTAAAAGATTGCATTATGTTATATTTTTTTAGTTTACTTACTTAGTTTGTCAGCAGTGTGTATTGATGATTGTGTGAACGAGGTATTACGTGTGAGATTTTATGTGTTGATCTTTTGGATTAACAGCAAAAACATGTGAGAAAGGCTGAACTTGATGGGCGCAAGTTTCTTTTCAGCTATATAACTATGTAACTATGCAACTGTGGAGAGACTTGCATATTCAAGTTTGTCATGAAGGGAAAGGTAAGTATGCCTAACAAAATAATGAAAAGATTAGACATGTGCAATTCATTTCATTCCAAATGTACATTCGGACAAATTTCGTGAAATTCGCACATTCTGATGTTTACGAATGTCCGAAGTACCGAAGAGCCGAAGTTTGGTAGTTCAGAAGTGCCGAACCGAATGACATTAGTCCGAATTGATGTAGTGCTGAAGTGCTTCAGATTTCTGAAAAGTGGCAAAACAAGAGAGAGGGAGGGAAAATTATGTGAATGATGACAGGAATCTTCACCAATGAGCTAATTCCTTGCACTGGAAGCCCTCCAGATGTGTAAGTGGTTGTGGTGGCAATCCTGGCACTGGGAGCCCTATAGATGTGTTAGTGGTTGTGGTAGCAGTCCTAGCACTGGGAGCCCTACAGATGTGTAAGTGGTTGTGGTGGCAGTCCACTTACACATCTATAGGGCTTCCAGTGCCCATACTGCCACCACAACCACTTACACATCTGTAGGGCTCCCAGTGCCCGGACTGCAACCACAACCACTTACACATATATAGTGCTCCCAATGCCCGTACTGCCACCATAGCCACTTACACGTTAATAGGGCTCCCAGTGCAGGATTGCCACCAAAACCACTTACACATCTATAGGGCTCCCAGTGCCCGGACTGTAACCACAACTACTTACACATATATAGTGCTCCCAATGCCCGTACTGCCACCATAGCCACTTACACATTAATAGGGCTCCCAATGCCAGGATTGCCACCAAAACCACTTACACATCTATAGGGCTCCCAGTGCCCGCACTGCAACCACAACCACTTACACATATATAGGGCTTCCAGTGTCCTTACTGCTACCACAACCACTTACACATTAGTAGGGCTCCCAGTGCCAAGATTGCCACCACAACCACTTACACATCTATAGGGCTCCTAGTTTCCTGACTGCCACCACAGCCACTTACTAGACATGTGTAATTCGTTTCATGCAATTCGGACATTCAGATGCTTACAAATGTACGAAGTACTGAATTACCGAAGTTCTGAATTGCCGAAGTTCGGTAGTTCGGAAGTGCCAAACCGAATGCCATTGGTCCGAATTGCCGAAGCAGACACATTTTTTTACTTACTTGAATTTCCGAAACTAACTACATTTTTTACCCATGCACATCCCTAGAAAAGATGTAATTTCCATATCACTTTTAAGCAACACTTAAATAAAATAAAAAGCACAATTGCTTTGATTATTTTGGTTTTACCTGCTCATAGCTGTAAGATTGGCCTTACAGTTACTTGTTTGGTACCTTTCAAGAGCTTATTCTATACTGTTATGAAATTAGCCAACCTACCCTAGCTTCTCTTTTCTATTCTGCTGCTGCTATGTCAAATATATATGTATTTTACCTCAAGCGACTCGCAGAACCAGTTCTTATTTTGTTTATTCATTTTCGTGCCAACCTTAGCAAGAATGAGAAGCAAAGCATTTTGTTTTTTAAATGTTGCAAAGAAATCTCAAACATATCTGAAATGTAAAACTGCACGCTGATATAAACATGCCATGTTTTAGAAACAAGAACCTAGGAATCCTTAAAATATATATCTTTTAATAAGAAAATATCACATGCCCTCTTATCCATTCAATGTCTCAAGTCAAAATAAAATCAAAGCAGATCATGAAAAAACGGATTTGGTAATTCAACAGGGGAAATATTTCCCCACTATCCCTTCCTATTGTTCTGTAATTACCATGACATAAATATTATAGTATTAATATGAATGATACTGTTATTACTTACATTTAATAAAATGTTTTATTTATGCATTGCTTTTTGATTTGTTTGATGTTTGTTTTCATATTTTCTCTTTGCATGGTTATTTGTATATGAAACTTACCCAAAACTTTTATGAAACTTAAAATGTTCAAATAGGGGTTACAAATAAGGGTTGCAAGCTTTATCAAAGTGTTGATGTAAACATGACAAGTTTGAGTTCTCAGTACTTTAACGGATTATTTCAGACATTTTTGTTGTTGAGCAGGTTTACACATTTATGCAAAATATTGGTATACCTACCGGTACTTTTTTGTTTGCTTATTCTTGGACTGGTATAGATCTAATTCTAGCCCACACATTCAATCTGCTAGTTATACCACTGTCATGTTCGTCAGCCTGAGTAAATCATTTGTACTTTTGAAAAATGCAAATGTTACACTTGATAACCACTGCACACACTGTCAAATTGACCCATATAAACAATTAAATCAGTTACAATTTTCTGCATTTTATATATTCTACAGGATTTTGGAAATAAAATAGCAGAAACCATGTGTCTTTTATAACTGAAAGCTCAATTGGTAACTGTGTATAATCATTTAATATTTATTTTTTGAGAATATTAAAAAAAAAAAAGAAAAAGAAAAAAAAACCTGCATATGTGGAAGTCTTGTTTTCTGAAAAAAATTGAATTGGGGCACACCCGAAAAACGTATTTTTCAGAAACATTTTTAAGGAACAGCACACACATAGAAAAATGACAGTTTTACATTTTACAAGGCTACTTAAAATCTTAGCAAACAGATATGGGGATTCCGTTACAACCACATGACCATATTGTGCTAAGCACACCACTGCGTCATGGTTCCCCCAATACCGGTGGGTCCTAAACTAATTATAACATGGGAGAACTCCAGAAGTCTTTTTTTCTAACAATTTTAAATTATTCTACCTTTCAGTCAAATATACAATAGTATATTTGGTGAATGATTTGTTTTTACATTTCTACTGAGAAGTGCATGTGTTGAAGTGCAAGTATAGCCATAGCACAGCTATTGTATGTTGAGATAGGAGACTAACAGAGTGAGCAATCATAAAATTCTTATCCAGTGAAGATAATTGTGAGGATGGGAGGGAAAGCTAAGCTTCTCAAACATAAAGTAGAAAGGTAGAAAGTGTTGTTTGGGTGTCAGTGATCTACTGAAAGGAATGCTCCATAAACATAAAAAAAATCCCTCCCTCCTTCCTCCGGGTATAAATCATCCAACCAGCCCTGCTACTTCCTGGTAGTTTAGCTCAGTAAAGCATGCAATTGCCTAGAGCACCTGCCTTGTAATGACTGTGATTGGACAGCCACAGAAAGCCTGGGCTGGGGAAAAAGAGGAAGGCTTTGAAAGGCTTCAGACAAGATATCTGCAACTTTTACAATTTGTATTAGATATAAACGCACAATAAAAAAAAAGCATAATTAAATGCATTCATGTTTGCATTAGGAGTATATATGCTAAATAGTGATTATTTTTCTGTTTCGGGAGTGGAGGGCCCATTCAAAAAAAAAAAAAAAGCTAACATCAGCTAATTAAAATTATGTTATATTTTTTGTTGATAGTAAAAATAAATTATTAATGTTTATACTATTAAGCAGATCTGCATAAAATTTACTACCAAATACCTTACAATATCATCTCTACGGAATGTGTAGTAATCATATATGAAGCATTTTTTTCACTTCAACAAAAAATGATGGATCCCTCCCCTCCTTCTTTCCTTCTTACTTTTATATTTAATTTAATTTATTTTATTTATTTATTCATTTATATTTCTTAATTGTGCGATGTTCATTACTTGTTTGTTTTCAAAATTATAATGTTGTGTTTTATCAAGATGTATCAATAAAACCTATTTGAAAACAAAGTATGTTATATTGACTAGAGAGCTATATTTCCAATATGAGATAACAAATTCATTTAGATAACCCCGACACGCAGAATCAAAAGCAAATCAAGAAATTTTACATTTTGGCCAAACCTGAATAAGTACAAATGTCATTATCCAGAATACCTCATAACAGTGAGAGAGAAAGCTGCATTGTTTTGAGATAAAGCAGATGTTAGGACCTTCTTGGGAGACCTATAATTGTGCACTCAACTGTTCTTTATGTGATCAAACAGAATGCTAGCCTGCTTTCGAGAAGCTTTATTCTCGGTGATCTTTGTCTCTTTTTCTGAAGAAACATTTACAGTCTGATTTTCTCTCTTTTCTCTTAAAGTAAAAAAAAGTGATTCCTAATGACCGATCTCGTATGGTGATTTTAAGCAAGTCACAATGTTGTTTGTTTTTTTTCTCGGAAAAGTAAATAGTTAATTACAATTTTTTATGCAAACCTTACAATCAATATTAATATGGAACTGCACAAAATGAAAGAAAATAATCTACAGCTTACTTCCTATTGTATTCCTTGCTGCAGGTATAAAATGTGTGAATCAAGATAATTGCCCATCTCTAGTCTTTGGCGAGCTCTAATCTTACCCAAGTCCGAACTGAACACAATTTGTTCCTTAAGCCCTAAAAGCCTAGTCATGAGCAGCAGTGGCACAAAATAGGATTCTGATTAGATTAAGTGCTTCCATCTGGAGATTGCATAGTTGTAAATTGTTCTCTTCACAGAAAATTGTGTGATGCATAGAAAAAGAAAAACCTTTAAGAATACATTACTGGTCTACAAGAATACTCTCCTTGCAGTGGAATACGTAGTGAAAAACAGACTAATGGATTTATGTTAATTAAAATTAAATCTTTTCTAAAGGCACAGGTTTGTAGTGTGTGGAATATAATAAACATTGTATATGCTACATGTTTAGCATCATGACCAAATATACAATATGTAAAAGTGCATTCTGTTTACAGTGGAGAGAACATTCGTATCTATGCTCTGACAAGTGCACACAGGGCAAGGGGGCACTGTGGAAAGTGAAGTGTAATTTTGGCTGCTAAAAAAAGCAAAAAATAAATTTAAAAAAAACAGCAGCAGTAAAGTGCTGCAACTCTAAGGCCTTAAATAAATTGTAGACATTGTTGTCATTTATAAAAGATTGGTCACTTTGGAAGGGAAGGTCTATTCCAATAGTATTTTTCCATTTGTTATGAGCTGTGCCTTTTTAAACAATTTTTTTTTTTTAATAAGTCTCCTTTTATATTTATATATGATTTAGTAAATTTGCATTATAGTCAAAGCAATAAAGGCTCAGTCTGGTATATACTGTAAATTCCAAATGTTCTACAAGTCCCAACACATTGCCTATGATTACACATGGATGAAGGTGAATTATGGTTGGGGGTTTATTTACTAGGAAAAAAAATTGGGGTGAATTGAGAAATAAATTGCAAATTTAGGCTATATTCGACATACCAACACTTTTTGTGTAAATTTTGCATTTTTGTATTCACTACATTTTACGGTTATTGAATAAGCCTTACTCTGTAGAAACTTAGAGAGAGCCTTAGCAGGCTATTACATGATGAAAAAAATAGAGATAAATGTGAGGGTAAAAGTTGTCCTACTTGAATGTTATTAATATAGCTTTATTTTTTACTGGTTGTTTAACATATTACATTATGCAATTCCTTCTTTTGTTTTCTTGCATGTCCACAAATGCATTGAATATTGAAAGGAATACTGAAAATAAGGGGACTTACTCTGGAACTGCTCGAAAGTGGATAATTAATGTAGACACATATAATGTGTTGCTTAAGAGAACTGTCTTAGTTTAAATATTTGTTTCTGTGTATTTACATAGGTTAGAGATGTGTTTCTTATCGTTTGACTGTTGCCCCTAGTGGTTCTAATAAAACCAGTTTGACTTCTAGTAAAGTGGGGTTGATCTACTTTGTTATTGGATGCATTTTGTTTCTCTCTTCTCTCTGTGTTCCATACATATATACCTATATGCCTTACTATCGGTTTTCCATTCAGTTAGCAAATTTAAAATAAAATAAAGGTTTGAACTTCTTATGTCATAAGACAAACTGTATTTTGATATCTGGTGAATATTGTTAGTTCATCAGCACGTATATTTATTTTTGGAGTAAACAAAACCTGCTGCTCAGCTATGTCCCTGCTACTTGAGCATTCACTGATCTTCTTCCTAATACATCACTAGCACAAAAAATTAACAGAGATGAACCTATGAATGCAGGTGCAAGTGTTTGTGTCAAATCAGAGAAAAGAGTGGCATTAGATACTATATGGCATTTTAGAATTTCCATTTAATCTAACTCATAATTGCATTAAATAATGTATTTTCTTCAATGTCACCCAACCTATGTAGCTAACACTGAAAATGGACAATGAGCTGGATCCTTTTTTTT